AAGTATTTGTGCATATTGCTGAAAGAAACAACAGAAATTACAACAATCAACTAAACTCTGAATTAACATTACCAGTTGTACACGTGTCACCACTCCAACCTGCAGCGCATGCACAAGTTGTGGGACCCGTGCACTGGCCACCATTTTGACAAACGGATGAACATGACTCTGAAAAAGAATAAGCATATATTTATTCAAAAATAAACGAAAAAATAAATTGGAATTATTTTTCTTCAGCTTTATAGTGTTCAGATATAACAAATAACTTGGATATAGCAAGTTCATCCCTGGGGAATATTTTGTAACATTCAGTTTTAGGAATCTCATCCAAATGATATTTTTAAGTTTGGCGATTCACTCGACAATCGGTTGGAAACTTTCGGTCTCTCTTTTTATCAGAATAAGTATATCATTCAATGTAACTTGTTTAAATTTTTAAAATCAAGTTTTGTCTAACAAGAGATAGAACAATACCAAAACTCGATTTTTGAGATTTTAATTTTGGACACTTTAAATATTCGGTAGTTTTCAGTTCTAGCGTCATGATTTAAATGTTGCCCTTTGATTATTCTTAGCAAGCATCATACTATATTACTATGAATGAAAAGCTTGCGAAGTTCAGAAGAGGACTTTATAAGTGCAATCTATGGCATCATTCAAATAGAGAAGCAGCATCAAAATCCTCAAACTCCAAAAGTTTTGGATTTGAATTTGGCACTCTAACATGTCTGAATCATATGACTTAAAATGATAAAAGAAAACGCGTACTCACCGATAACAACACCGGGATTATTTTGATTGTTATTATTGCCATTAGGATACGATTGAACGTGACAAAGATCTACGGATAAGTTGCTTCCGTCGTCCGCCGTAATATTGACATTGGGTTGAGTATTGAGTTTTTCATGGATGCCAGTAAAAAGCTCGATTTGGCAGATCAGTGTTTGACATGGTAAATCTTGTGGATAATTCAATGAGATGTCAAAGACAATCGCAACACCTGAGCGATCCGTCTTGTCGCATTGAATGCTATATGTAAAGTTATAGGTAAATATGACTTGCAGTAACTAACTAAAAACAAAATTACTCGCGACGGCGACGTCGACCTTTGGTAGTGGTTGCTTTTGCGCTGCTGATGGTGGTAACAGCAATGGATGCTTTCGGAGCACTGATTGCTTGTTGCAGCTAAAACATGATACTCATGATAAACCAACATAAAAGACAAAACTTACGCAAACGGCTGTTGTTTGACGGTTGGTGACAGACTGTGTGGCACGCTTTTTTACTAATCCAGGTGGCAACATGTATGAGATGGTTAATGTAGTCAGCGATTGTTCTAATAAAGATTATATATGTGTATATAATACAAACAATAAATGAATACTAACTAGTAATCGCCGTTTTGTTGCCAACTATGAAAAACGGTGCTGTTAAATATGCGGGAATCAGTGAGATACAAATTGTGATTGCGATAGCCACAAACAACAGTACAAAAAGATTACATTTAGAAGGTCTATGCAAGTGATAAAAGAGAATAAAATTCATTGGAAACACTCACAACTTACCTATCAGAGCGTGGTAACTTCACATGTGCCATATTTTTTTAATTTGTTGAAAGATTGTTGCCTTGAAATTAAGAAAAATATGAATTTGAGTGTCAAAGAAAAGTTGGCTAGAGATTTGAAGTCTACAAGTTTCTAGTTATTACCGAAATTCTAGTTCACATCTGTCATTGTCTTTTTTCGGACTATGTAAATAGAGATCTTTAACTATATCCAGTCAATTAATGATATCTACGAAAAGCTAGTAAACACTTACGGGTTGGAATTCGCTAAACACCTAACATTTTTTCTAAATAGAACAACAGTTCGTAAAATGAATGATATTGTTGGAATGGTATAAACTGAATACAAATAATATCCAAAGACGCTAGAAATCGGAGAGGAATAATCGAATATATGTATTATGAATATCAATGAAAACAAATAATTAAACGAATATGTAAAGAGCGTAGGCTTTTATATTCTTGTTTTTATACGCTTCAGTGATATATGAATAATCGTTTTCATTTTTTCTGCTTATATTTATCTCATTAAAAAAACTAACAAGTAATTAAGCAGATGCGACAATAAATATTTTTGTTTTTCTTCGTGTGTAACACTAATTGTTTATAATTAAAGTAGATAGGAAAAATAAACGTGAATAATTGATTATTTGTCGTAAACAAATAAAATATAATTGATCAATTATTTTACACGAATAAAATATACGTAGGTAGTCATAATCGAAAGCTTGTAATTGGACGATGTTTTTGTTTTATTTTATGTGCAATTATTTTGTGCAATAATTAGGAGAATTCTCAAAAATATTTATTCGTTAATAAACAAAAACGAATATTTTGGAAGTATTTTGGTATTAGTAGAAAGGAAGAATTGTGTCATATGATACTTTTAAGATTTATGTTATTGAGATTCAGAAACTATTATTATATATAAAACACAGATTGATCGGTGAAGTTTTTGTCTTCTTTTAGGACTGAGCTCTTTGTCGAAATTCAGGAGAGAGTATATGAGCCAAAAATTACTCATTTTCAGCAAAAAAATTATACGATGATGTTATGACTGAAATTCTTTTAAATAAAAACAAAAGTCCATCGTTACTGTAGAATCATTTAACTTTTTCAGTATTTTACCAATGTAGAAATGGACATTTTTTTTTGGTATAATTTATAAATCAATACATATATTTCACATTATAATAATGTATTTACCTTCGCAAAATTATGTATATTATTGATGTAATATAATTGCAGTGCGCAAACAATGATAAAAATGATACGAAAAAAAAAATATAAAATTAATCAAGCATAAATGAAAACGAACAGAACAGAATAGAATAAAACAAAATATAAACAAATATTTTTAATGATCATGTGCGCTGCACATTCTACTACTTGTTTTAGAAAAAGAATCCACGTGATTGATTATTTTAGAATTTTTCAAAAGAATATTTTCTTATACGTCAAGTATAATTCTTATCTTATATAAGCATTAATAATGATGATAATGAATATTAATTCATATTAGTTAATGTTGTTTATATCAAAGAAGATTCTTATGAAGTTATTTTGAATATATATATATCATTTTAAAAGAAATTTTCCAAGGCGATGGTTCCTGAAGCAGGATTCTATAAATTTCTGAGCAGAACCCGCCCGGAAAATGCCAGGAATCCGATGGAGATGTGAAGTAACCGTATCCGGCTGCCGATTTTGACATGTTCCTGTCGGTTCCGGCCCAAACCAGATAAATCCGATCACTGGATGCATTCAACAGAAATACTGCTTCCATAAAACTCCCGGAATACCACGGAACCGGCCGTTTCCATGCCGGATTGTTCGACCTGGGTTATGTTTAGATAAATATTTAATGGTAAATAAATGGAATTAATTCTTTTTCAAACTGAAATCAATAATAAAGTTAACAGTTTCTTGTAATCAAAACACCCAAAATCTATATAAAATTTTATATGATGAATAAAACTATTAATTCAAACAAAATCTAAGAGAATTATTTTGAATATAGCTCATTGTTGTACTAATTATTTTGTTGTAATAAAAATAATCACGAAGAAATTATTGTCAAATAGTTTCTTGAATGAATAGTGAAAAATACATTGTTACATGTGTTCTTGTATAATATTGTTCATAAAGACTGACAGATAACTTTAAAATGATTTTCTCAGTAATATTAAGTTTATTAATTTCACATGGTTGACTCAAAATTGATATTGGAGATAAAGTGATAATGTTAATAATTGACAGTATTGAGATTGCACTATACAAAGACAATGCAATTATATTTGCTTGCTCGTGTTTTGTCATTTGTTTCTTTTTGAAAACGATATTTTTTTTGAATTGTTTTTGGATACTTTTAATTTAAATCTTTCGTTAGGATACCTATTCTTTCAATGCTCTCTTGATGTATCTTTTCGTTCTACACATTCGCAATGAAAACACGAGACGTGCTGTTTGCTCTGATACATTTATCTTAAGTGTCAATCCTAGTTAATATATATGAACACGATAAGAAAGAATAATCTATTTTATAGTAAATTTTGATAGATGATGAAAAAGAAAATTATATTACAGACACCCATGACGCATTACTAACAACAGTAGAAAAAAGAAGAAAAAGAAAAACGTATGCCCATCCGTGTGATGGTGTAAATATTTTTTTTAAAGAGAAAACACTTTTTTAAAAAATTTCTGAAGCCAGTCGGTCGGTCACGCACATAAGGAGATTTTGCGCCACTGTAAAACATAATTATTTTCTTTTGTATTGATAACTAGATGTTTTTTCTTGAATCATCCATACTTTAAGATGTCAAAGTAAGTTAATTCCACGTGTAAATTTCAAGTTTGTAGTTTACTTCCTCTTCCGTAGTTTAATCTAAAACCGGAAGTACTCTTCCTAAAACGAAACACATTTATCACATATTGAGTCAATAAAATTTAGGCAGTGTCATAATTTGAAGTTTACACTGTCTAAAGCTCACTTTTTTTTGGCCAAATAAGATTTTGTAGTTATTTGAATGTTTCTGCCATTTTTTTTTGTTAATATTATTTATGTGCATTTTCTTCTCAGACAAGCTATTTCATTACCATCACAACACCTAGACTCCATTGAAACAAAGAAAAAGAAATAGTAATATATAAAGTAGCACAACATATATTTTATTAACTTTCATTTCTTCAACGTCGAGTCGCGCGAAGGCTTCTTTTGCTATATTACCAGTAAGACTCAATCTAAATTATGTTAGTTGTTATTTCTGCTTTAGATTTATTTCATTTTTTTTTTAAAAAGCACATTGAAATGTGTATTCTTCTTCAGCTATTCTTATTATTCTCATTTTTCATACGCTTATCGTCTGCCGCTACGTTTTCTCCAGATACAAGTGATTATGACGCATATGGACTGAAGATAGCTGCTAATAATTTGATGATTGTTGAAGCTCTCAATGATTATAGTGCATTTCTTTTTCAATTTGCACCCTACACTGATAATATTACACAGACCAGTGATCGAAGTTGTTTAATTTCATATTTTGATTATTCACAATTTATCTATACTATTGCTCTCGGTATAAATCAATCAACTTATGACATTTTCTTTGTTGGTGAAATGATTGATCTCGATAAACAAATTCCATTGGAAAATCGTACATTTGTTGGTATCCTTAGTTATACAGGCTCTCTCACTACAATCGATTGTGATACTTTCTATGGTACTACGCAATTTATTCCAGGAACCTTTGTTCATCAAGAACATTTAGTAATGGTAACTGATTCAATTGGTTCGGTTGCATATGGTTTTTCTGATCTCTTTACATTCTCCTATACTGCAGCTACAGACAATTTAGTTGTTTATAAGACGAACTCACTTTCTCCTTCAATATCATTTTTACCTTTTGCTGTTGATTATAATGGTAATCTAGGTGTTATTGCTGGCTTTCTCGATAATGGTCGAAATTCACGTATGTAGACAAAACCAATGAAAAAATATATAAATACATTGCTCTTTGAATTTGTTTATTTGAATAGGTATTAAATATCATGCAACTATTATCCTATTTAGTATCAGTGCGTCAACAGCTATTGCAACACCGATCAGCTCATGGAATTATTCAGCGAGTGCAACATCATGGCAATCTGGATTAACAAATGTAGGAGCTGATCAGTATGCAGCTAAATATGACATGTCTGTCAGTATAAATCCAATAACAACACAAGTTCTTGTTGGCATACAGTCAATCAATACAGTATTTCTATTCCATTATACAAGAACAGCATTGACATTGCTTAGTTCAATGAGTCCTGGGCAGGCAATTGGTTTCGGTAAAGGTGTTGCTTGGCTTAGTTATACTTTCAATAGGTTTGCCATTCTTGTTAATGTTTATTCAACAGATTATGTTTGGAGTTCTTCAAAAATCTATATATATGACAGTACATTAACGAATATATCGTCTCCAATCTCTATTTTCCCAAATATTCAACAACCTCTCTATAATTATATGTCACCTGTTTTTCTCAATATTATCACAACTCCAGACAATTTAGTTCTTCTCGATAACCAAGGTGATCTCTTTGTTATTGTATCGGCTCCTGTTGGTTATTACTCTTCAACAGTTGGTCCAACTGAACAAATTATACCTGCATTCTCTTCACAATTACCATGTATTCCTGGTACATACAAGAATATAACTGGCATCGGTCGATGTATACCGTGTCCAGCAGGCACAAAAAATGATGGAGTCAACCTTACAATATCAACCTGTGTCAGTTGTGCAGTAAATACATTCTGTCCATTTGGTTCTACAAGTGATTCTATCTCAAATGATCAATTGAGTAATGTTATTCAAGCACTTGCTTATCCATCAACACCAGATATGAACGGAATTGATGATATCCTCTTTTTTACACTATTTTCAATTGATTCATCTCCACGTTGTATTATTATTTCGCCAATCTTTTGGGCCTTAATCGTTGGTGCTATCGTAGCTATTATTGGAAGTACAATGCTTACGATGAAACATTGTATGAAACATCCAAAAGCTGTAGATAGATATAACAAGTTAGAAGCCGCATTGAAACAAGCAGATGTTATTGGTGCAGGTGAAATGTGGGTCGGGGGTCTTACTACATTTTCTGTTTTAGTACTCCTTATTGCTTGTTATGTATTCAGTGCTAAATATTATAATTCATATCCAATTGAAAAAGCTGGGTCTTCGACATATGCATGTGATACAACTATACGGAATGCACTATTTACTTCAAGTTTACAGCCGTTGTCAATACCAGTCTCAGACAGTGCTCAAGCAATAGTTGACTTATTAAATAATCAACCAGTAAATCTCAATGTCGCTTTTCTCAATACAGCTTACAATTGTACATCAGATACGATTACATTGACGTATCTCTTAGGTAAAATATGGATGCCAATCACAACAAGTATCTCCTGTAATTCTTCAAACTATATACTTTCATACAATGTTCTTTTACCATACAGAGAAATTACCATACAATTTAATTTACCTAACATATATACGATTGGCGGACTACGCATTGGTCTTAGTGCACCTGGCCAAATTCAATCTTCTACAGTAACACTCCAAGATTTAGACTTCTCTCAAACATTCAGTCAAAGTGGACGTATGTTAGGACAAGATGCAACTATCGCTCTCTCTCTGACGAAAGTAATTAATGATACAAGTTCACTTAATGTTGGAGATAATGATACATATAGTGGCCTTTGGATTGGTTCAGTTTCAATGAATTACTATGAATCTTTCTTTGAAGACACTGATTATTTGAATGCACCAGTTACAAGATCAACAAATTTGACAATAACTATTAGTGAAACATCTTACTATATACTAAATCAACAGTCACCAATCGCTAGATTACCTATACTAATCTATCATTGTTTCCTATTTACAACAACAGTCGTTGGATCGTTCACTTTCATATTTGTTATATCCAACTTGATGATTTTACCCGTTTCCGCTTTACTTGTTCGTAAATGTAAATCGAAATTTGTCAAAAATAATCGAGTTAGTAGTAATGATAATGATTTACCAATCTCAAATTCTAACTTGAACTCGTCACTAGAAACAAAAGCCGCCACAAGCTAATGCTGAAAATTCTGTTATATTTCTATATCAATGCGTTGCTTATCTTCAAGCTTTTTTGCTTTTGTTTCATTGTTGTATTTTATAATATTCTTACTTAACAATAATGCGTTTCTTTTTATCAACTGTTTCATTATCTTTTGACTTATGAATAAAATGCAAAAAAGAAGGACCACACCAGAGATATCATTTTCATTGTTGCCTGTCAGCTCGCACAGGTAAGTGTTATTCTAACAACAAAATAAGATAAAACATACAAGTCGAAATTACATGCAAAATTTATACATTCGTTTATTATTTCTTTACTATAGATATTTGTTCTGCTGTAATCATAATGAGCAACAGCCAAATGAATGATGACAACGAAACGCTTCTTCCTGGCACGTTGATCGATCCGAACACTTGTGATCATCACCATCACACATCGCATCATAATCGACATCCACTAAGCTATTGTGTACCTACACTAGTCGAAGTAAGATTTTATGTCTATTTAAAAAATGTACTTTCGTCTTTCATCTAGCTACATATTCATCTCGATGGTTCTTTTCGACATTCGACCTTGTTCGAGTTAGCTGAAAAGAAAGGTACATTTTTTTCCTGGTCAAAAATCCTCATGTCAGTTTTTTCTTTTCGCTTTTAGATATTCCACTTCCAAGCGGAATAAAAAGAACAATGGAAGATTTCATACCGTAAACGCAATTAAAATATATTACATGATATAATTGCATTTCTGTTTAATTAAAGATATGTCTGTGTTCAATCAGATTGTAAATCGCTTGCTGACTTCCTCGGAAAGTTTCCTTTTTTTATTTCGATCGTCGCTGGTGATGTTGATGCTTTGGAACGTGTTGCTTATGAGTTTGTCGAAGATCAAGCAATACAAGGTGTGCTCTACACGGAAGCTCGCTACAGTCCTCATTTTTTGACAGCTGATATTCTGACACCTGAACAGGTTATTGAAGCAATCAATCGAGGATTCGAACGTGGCAAGAACGAATTCCATGTCGATGTTCGTACGCTACTATGTTGCATACGTCCACATCCTGAATGGTATGTTGATTGACTCGAGGGATTGAGGGTGTTTTGTCATCATTTGCCTTTTAGGTCAATGGAAATTGTCGAGTTTGCACACAAATATCGATCAGCGGGTGTAGTTGGTATAGATCTAGCTGCTGGTGACGAGCATGAGCATGCCGTTGCTCCTCATGTGGCTGCTTTTCAGCGTGCTACTGAGCTCGGCATACATCGTACTGTACATGCTGGTGAATCAGGTTTGGCCGATTCTGTTCGTCAAGCAATTGAACAATGTCATGCTGAACGAATCGGGCATGGTTATGCCATTATTGATGATCCATCCGTATATGAACTTATTCATAGTAGAGATATTCATCTTGAATGTTGTTTAACATCATCATTACAAACGAATGCCGTTGGCAAATATGCACCGAAAGATTGTGACATAGAAGAAAAACATTTGATGTTGAATGGTCAAGAAACGAATACCAAACTTCATTTACATATGACATCGAAGAAAGAAGTGTGGCATCCTATTCATCATTTTGCTCGAGATCATCTCAATTTTTCATTATCATGCGATGATCCATCTGTATCACAGATTACCATCGAACATGAATATAAACATGCATTAGTCGATCTCAAATTATCACCAGCGCAGCTTACTCAATGTATCTTCAATGCAGCACGATCATCATTTTTGCCTGAAAAAGAAAAGGATGAATTAATTAAACGATTGTTAGTTAATTATATTCCAAAAGGTGTTCTTAAACATTACTAGACGTATCGTTGCTTAAATTCTACTTCAAATTTTTAAATCACCAATGATTTTATTTCAATTCGATCAATATAATAATTATGCAATTTAACTATATTTGAAAGTGTGAGTGTGGGTGTGTGTGTGGGTATCGAAGAAGAGAAAATCAATATATCTGTCCTTCTGCTTAGAGTAACTAAATATGGGCTTCGATTTGATAAACGTTTCATTACGAATGATTATATTTTTATATTGATGTCCTTGAAATCAATGATTTAATCTATTATTCGTTTTGTAGTTCGCAAACAATGATATTTCATTTATTATAAAAAATGCATATCATCGATTTGAGAAAATTGAAACGTGACGTTTTATTCTTGCATACGTCATTATTAAATGGTCTTAAATATAGCTTTTTTTGTTCTTACCTCTATTTCATATTGATTTTCATATCATAGTGAATATTTCTCATCACAGTGCTTATTATTAAAAAGAACAAAATTTTATTTTTGAAATGATGACAATGAATTATTTCGTTGTACTTTCCTTGTGTACATGGATGTAAGTATTTTCTTAACAATAGTGGACGATTATTTATTTTGTTTCATTGTAGGGTTTTCAATTCAGGCAAAGTTACTGGTGCTCAAATATCATCCAATGCTATGAATAATTGTGAAATATATGATCCAACAGCGGACCAATGGACCGTTATTGCAAGTATGACAACAGAACGTATACATCATACTGCGACTCTGCTTAATTCCGGCAAGGTTCTTGTTTGTGGTAGTGGAGGATATACTGGTTATATAGCTACATGTGAAATATATGATCCATCAACCGAAAAATGGGAGGCTGCTGCAAGCATGACAATGCCACGCGGTTTTCATACTGCAACCCTACTTAGTTCGGGTCAAGTTCTTGTCACTGGTGGTACTAACTCTAACTTCAACGGTGATTTGAAGACTTGTGAAATATATGATCCATCAACGAACAAATGGACTCCTACTACAAGTATGTCAGCATCACGTTCAGGTCATACTGCAACTGTACTTAATTCGGGTAAAATACTTGTTACGAATGATGGAGCTACTTCTGAAATATACGATCCATCAACGAGCCAGTGGAGCTCACCTACTAGTATAGGACCAGCAGCGCGTTATAATTCGGTTGCTACCCTTCTCAAGTCAGGTGAAGTTCTTGTTGCTGCTGGCATCCAAGCAGCTAAGTATTCGCCTACTTGTGAAATTTATAATCCATCAACAAATCAATGGGATATCATTTCAAGTATGACAACAGGACGTTCTCGTCATACTTCAATTCTACTCGGTTCGGGCAAAGTTCTTGTTGCGGGTGGTGTCGGAGATGCTGATTTTCTAGATAGCTGTGAACTGTACGATCCATCAACAGGCAAATGGAGCGTTGTTACTAAAATGATAGCAGAACGTGCTGACTTTACTACAACTATGCTCAAATCAGGCAAAATTCTTGCTACTGCTGGTTATGGATATACTGGTTATTTAGATAGTTCTGAAATATATGATCCATCAACAGGCACATGGAATCCTAGTGCACGTCTATCACTAACACGTGCTTCTCATACTACAACCATGCTCAATTCAGGCAAAGTTCTTGTTACTGGTGGCGAAAAAATTGGTAGTTAAATGTTTTAATAGACGAAGAACGACTATAGTTAAAATGATAGAGTTTTTGAATTTATTATTGCTGAATTCCATTTTATGTAATGCTGATTTTTTATTAATAAACTATGCAATCGTTGACTGAAAGAAGAATAAAGAACAGATATTTTAATTTAGTTTGTGCCAAGACCTTGCTAGGTCCAAAAATCGGGCGTAGGTATCTTCTCTCCTCACACCCACCAATCGTGAGCCAAACAGGGTTGCCAAACTTCCTGATTTGGCCAGGAGACTCCTGCTTTTTAAACTTTTCGCCTGGTAATATTTCTCCTGATTTCTCTTGTTTTTTCATTCTTTTTTAAACCCCTTCTCATAATAGAAGTCCCTTTCAGACGAGCGATGTCTTTGACGTATTAGAAGCCCTCTGATTTTTTCAAATTTTAGTTCTAAAACTGCTAAAATTTTTCGAATTTATGGTGATAATTTCACTATTTCCAATCTAGCTGCGCTAATATCATCTGAAAAACTCATAAAAACGTTGGAAATCTGTAAAAATCTTTGAAATCGTTTTTGTAGTCATAGAGTATGAAAATGTTTTGGGGCTTAATAGAAATACCGCTTGAGAACCTTCGAATCGTGGACATATTTCAATTCTAACGCCATTCAATACATAAAAAATGAGAAAAAAACAGGAGTATTACAGCTAGATATATGTAGTAGCAATTCGGATGATACGAAACCAGCATCATATTCAATTTTTTGAAATTCCAGAAGACTAGATCTAATCACGAAAAGTCTAGTCCTATAATAGGATTTTATTTTTGAAAAAATACAAGTTCTGATTTACAAAGCTCGATTTCATACTGTATATCTATGTGATACTTCTATATTTTTGTAAAAAAATATTTCGAAGATTTCGACTTTTTTTGAATACTTTAATCGGCTCCCTCTTTTGTATCTAAGAATACTATTTTCTTGTGATATGATATATATCAGTACCTAGAGTCGGTTGCGAAATGATAAATTGATCGATTAAAATCACATGTTGTACCGAAAAAATTTCAATGAAACAGACAAAAAATCAGTGAAAAAATCTCAAATTCTTTTGAAAAACAGTTTTTATAGAAAAATGGACTCAAATATGAGATATAATCTGACAGTTTTAATTTTGCATAAAATTTATTGCCGAATAGAGATATGATTTGACAGTTTTTGTTGTATTATGATTTATATACCATACTGAAATAAAACTCTCAAGTCATATATCTACTCGGCAACAAATTTTATGCAAATAGCAATACAATGTAAAATGATCCCAATGGATGTCGAGTTCAAAACTAAAATAAAAAAAATCTCTGAAATAGTAAAGAACTGTCAAAATCAATTCACTCTGAAGAAAAACATTATCGTGAAACAAAAATATAAAAAAAGATGTAGAAAACGGTTTACTCTGCTCTGGTTCGATTTTTTAGTGGTTTCTGAAAACCCATTTGTATCTGTTTTATTCATATTTTCCTTCTGATTTTATGAGAAAAGTCTCCTGATTGAATCCTATTTTTCAATGAAAAAATTCGGATTTGGCAACCCGAAGTGGGAGTTAAAATCAGACTGATAAAAGTACAAAGATTGAATCATACAACGTATACAAGAGAAGCATGTGGCAGAACAATAGCCTGATATTGATTCGAAAGTGCGTATACAAGAAAAAAAGAATTAAGTGGAAAAGATAAGAAGAGCATATAAATACAGAACAGAAATAAAGGACATCGCGCACATTTCACTCAAGAATAGATTATTACAACTTCGACTCGTTACTAAATGACGAATAATAGACTGGTTTCTTTGTAAATCTATACATTCACTTGAAAACATATATATCTTTTTAATCAAAACAAGTCAAAAATGTCGGAAGCCACCACTAAAGATAAGCCAACTAACTTCTCGATAGATCCTGAAATCGTAAAATCAGAATCAAAATTGCATCAGAGTCGTTCCATTATTCGAGAATTTAGTTTGAATACATCAATGCATGGTATTTCTGGTATTTCACGTAGTCAAAGTATAAATAATCGTATTTTCTGGTCAATTGCGATACTTATATTTACTGGTATGATGTTTTACTTTAGTATACAAGCAATTCGTGCTTATTTTAAATATCCTACAGAAATATCAGTAGAATTTATTGAAGAATGGCCACAAGCTTTTCCAGCAGTTACCATTTGTAATTATTCACCACTCCGCTATGATCAATTTATTATGCCTTACTTAAACTATACAAATACATTTAATTTAACAAATACAAATGATACAAATACATTTTCTGCATTACAAGCAGAACATATATCTAATTTTCTAAATCATGAACTCAATCGAAATCAATCTTTACATGATCTATACTATCCACTCGAGACCATGTTAATAAAATGTGTCTATAATGGTGTTAACTGTTCAGCTCATGATTTTATTCGATTTATATCGCCTCGATATGGCTTCTGTTACACTTTCAATGCTCAAACAAAACATATTAACAATGGAAAGCTACATTATAACAATGAAAATGGAAAAAGTGGTCAACTTGAACTGGATTTATATACACATAGCCATCAATATGTTCCATATCTTTCTAATGGTGTGGGTATAGTAGCAATGGTACATGAAAATACACAATTGCCTCTTATAGATAGGGCTAGTACTCAATTGAGGCCAGGACAAAGACATAAACTAGGCTATATTAAGATGACGAATGTTCTCTTACCAGCACCTTATACAACTTGTAACAATAAAGTTTCTCTTGGATTACAAGCAATGTTCAATCAATTTCCACAGGCTCACTATACCTATGCACAAGAATTATGTTTTATAGTTGCAATACAAACCTACACGTTTGTATAATCAAATTATAGTCTCCATCTATTTTATGTATTTATTCATTATTTACAGATATCAAGAATGTGGTTGTGTTAGTCCTTTTGAATGGTCTACTCGTTATATTGTTCTTTCAGGTACGACAACAGTCATTCATGCAAGTTTGTGTAATACATCTGATACCTGTTATGCAAAGGCAGCTGATAGATTTAGAAGTTTAAGTTCTATTGCACGAATCTTTGCTTCAGACTGCAATCAAGAATGTTCTATCAATAAATTCTTAATTAAGTTATCTTCTATCGCAGCACCAACTTCGTGGTATTTAAATGATATTAAATTTTTGATTGAATCAGTATCGGCAATTCCATTATCTTCCAATTGGTCTACAGTATGGTCTTCGGATATACAAGCCAATTATGTTGGTATTGATGTTGTATGTGAATCAACTCGCGTAGAGACTTATACACAACAAGCATCAATCAGTGTTGTTGATGTAATTTCCAATGTTGGTGGGCAAACTGGTCT